AAACAAACACACAAACACAAACAAACACAAACACACACAAACAAACACACACAAACAAACAAACACAAACAACACAAACAAACAAACACAAACAAACAAACAAACAACACAAACAAACAAACAAACACAAACAAACAAACAAACACAAATAAACAAAACAAACAAACAAACACAAACAAACAAACAAGACACAAATAAACAAAACAAACAAACACACACAGACAAACAAACACACATAAACAATACAAACAAACACACATAAACAAACAAACAAACAAACACACACAAACAAACAAACAAACACAAACAACACAAACAAACACAAACAAACAAACAAACAACACAAACAAACAAACAAACACAAACAAACAAACACAAATAAACAAAACAAACAAACACAAACAAACAAACAAGACACAAATAAACAAAACAAACAAACAAACACAAACAAACAAACAAGACACAAATAAACAAAACAAACAAACAAACACAAACAAACAAACAAACACACATAAACAAACAAACACACATAAACAAACAAACACAAACAACACAAACAACACAAACAACAACAGAAGACAGAAAAAAGGGTTAAAGCACAGAAGAGGAACTTAAATTCAGAAAACAGCTGCTGCGGTGGCGATGGCGGTGGCGGCGGCGGTGGCGTAGTCGTACCTCTGTAGAGTTTGTTGAAGGCCGGAGTTTCAAACGGCTGCTGGAGGTGAGAGAAGTCAGGGCGAGGTTCACGACTGAAGAAGAAGAAAAACAGAAACTTTAGAATAAAAACAGCTGATGATGATCAATGATCAATAATCCTGATTTTAGGTCTGTGTGTGTCTGTCTGTCTGTCTGTGTGTTTGTGTCTGTGTGTTTGTCTGTATTTGTGTGTCTGTGTCTGTCTGTCTGTCTGTGTTTGTGTGTGTGTGTGTGTTTGTCTGTATTTGTGTGTCTGTGTCTGTGTGTCTGTGTTTGTGTGTGTCTGTGTGTTTGTCTGTATTTGTGTGTCTGTGTGTGTGTTTGTCTGTGTGTCTGTGTCTGTGTGTCTGTGTCTGTGTGTTTGTCTGTATTTGTGTGTCTGTGTTTGTGTGTCTGTTGTCTCACTTGTTGGGGACTCTGATGAAGATCTCGGTCACCCATCGCTCCAGCGTGTCGAGAGTCTCTGAGGGACAAAAACAGACGGACCTTTAGAGCGCCCCCTGCTGACTCTGTAGTGAACTAGATTACCGGAGGTTTCTGACACTATATGGCAAGACGCAATGCATGATGGGATGCCTACCACTGGTGAGAGACCATCGGATGGTCACTACGTTTTGCAATGCTTTATGGGAAATCTTGAGTCGCCTTTATTGGGCGCTGGAATTGATCACTGAGGTTTCGGAGACCTTTTAAAAATGATGCTGACCCCCAAAGAGTCGCCTATAGAGGAGTTAGGGATCCATCTAAGATACAGACTTCCTGTTTGGTCACCTGCGTTAAAAGTGAGTGGCGTTACAGGTGAGCGTCGTACCTTTGGACTGCACGGTCAGCGTCATGTAATGAGCCGAGTAATATCTGGTCCAGAAGTCTCGGAGTCGCTGGTAGGTGTTGATCTGTTTCTCTCTGGGCTCATGTTTTAATGTCTGGGCGTTACCTGAGAGGGAGGGACAGGTGTTTATCAGGTATGAGGTCACTGTCAGGTGATGTCATGGTCTCACAGGTGAGAGGACAGCAGTATAGATGTAGAGCACATAGATCTTACCCCAGCAGAATTTACTCATAGGATGTCCCGGTTTAGCGAAACTCCCGAAGAGCATCTCCTTCCTGTGAGAGTCTGACGGCCGAGCGAGCTGGTACTCTGAGAGAGAGAAGGGGGCGGGGCCATGGAGAGAGGGAGGAGCCATGGAGCGAGAGGGGAGGGGCAGAAAGGTGTGGCGTTATCACCTGGAGATAAACTGGGAGAGTCCCAGTCCTTCAACAGAAACCAGTTCTTTCCAGTAAAGACTCACCGCTGTCCACCGCCTCCACCTCTCGGTCCACGGCGTCCTCGATCATCAGGGGACAGATGAAGAACTGAGCCCACCTGTGGACCACGAGAAGAACCAGGACCACGTGAAGATCAGAGAGAGAGAGAGGGACAGGTAAAACACAACAACACTAACACGAAGGTTCAGGTGGGTCAGGTGTGGTTCTGGTGTGGTTCTGGTGTGGGTCAGGTGGGTGGGACTCACCTGTCAAGCGCCTCTCTGAAGAACTTCCTCTGGACGTCAAACTGGAAGATGGTCCTCTCACAGTCGGTCGAGGCGTTGTCACTTCCTCCGTGTTTTTTCAGGAAGGCGTCGAAACCGTTCTCCGCCGGGTATTTCTCACTGCCCATGAAGACCACTGAACGCCAAGATGGAGGAGGAGAAGAAGAAAGATGAAGGTCAACAAACTAACAGGTCAAGGTCCAACTCTGGACCCCCAGACTGGTTTTAGATCACATGACTGTCTGTGAGGAGACTCTGAAGGAGTTGTTCCTCCTTAACCTTTGACCCTGAACACCTGGAGATCTGCGCTCAGTCCAATCAGAGACGAGTCTGTGTTTCTGCTTCACCTTTGACCCTGTACAGATTTTAGAGAGCTCAGATGGTTCCTGCTGAGAGACTGTGGACATGAAGAACCTTCACACAGATCCACATGAAGAGGTCTGGAGGTCAACATCTCCGTGAAGATCTCCGTCTGCTCACATCAGTGTCAATAACCTTCAACAATCCTCGAGTCTGTTTCAAACTGCTGTCAGGAGTGGGTTAGTCCTGAGTGGGTTAGTCCTGAGTGGGTTAGTCCTGAGTGGGTTAGTCCTGAGTGGGTTAGTCCTGAGTCTTACTCTAATGTCAACATCTTCTCATTCTGCACTCGTCTCCATCATCAGAGTAAAGACACGCCTCCGTACCTGCCGACACTCTGTGTGTTTTTCTTCCCTGTATTTTCTCCCGTATTTCAGACCGATCTCCCTTCGCCCTCCTCCTGTATCATCATTTCTCCAGAATCTCCTGTAGTTTGATGGTCCTCCTTCATGGATCTCCTGTAGTTTGATGGTCCTCCTTCATGGATCTCCTGTAGTTTGATGGTCCTCCTTCATTTATGGATCTTCTGTAGTTTGATGGTCCTCCTTCATGGATCTCCTGTAGTTTGATGGTCCTCCTTCATGGATCTCCTGTAGTTTGATGGTCCTCCTTCATGGATCTCCTGTAGTTTGATGGTCCTCCTTCATGGATCTCCTGTAGTTTGATGGTCCTCCTTCATTCATGGATCTCCTGTAGTTTGATGGTCCTCCTTCATTCATGATCTCCTGTAGTTTGATGGTCCTCCTTCATGGATCTCCTGTAGTTTGATGGTCCTCCTTCATGGATCTCCTGTAGTTTGATGGTCCTCCTTCATTCATGGATCTCCTGTAGTTTGATGGTCCTCCTTCATGAATCTCCTGTAGTTTGATGGTCCTCCTTCATGGATCTCCTGTAGTTTGATGGCCCTCCTTCATTCATGGATCTCCTGTAGTTTGATGGCCCTCCTTCATTCATGGATCTCCTGTAGTTTGATGGTCCTCCTTCATGGATCTCCTGTAGTTTGATGGTCCTCCTTCATTCATGGATCTTCTGTAGTTTGATGGTCCTCCATCATCCATGGATCAGATCTCTATATCAGTCTGAAGTTTCCTGAAGATCGTTGTGTGTTCCTGCTGAGCCTCACAGACTCTGGTTCGGTCCTTTGACAGTTTTGGATGATTGAGGTTGAAGCTGTAAACTTTATTTAAACAGTGTTTGTTGTAAAATCAACACTTTAATGAAAGGGAAACAAAGCTGAGATGGAATATTTACGATGATCGTCTCTCAGCGTCTCGCAGTGATGCGTTCAGGGCAGCCTCAGATAACAGAGCGCTGTATTTCACATACAGACGTTCAGAGAGACTCAAACAGGAGAGAGAGGATGGAGGACAGAGGAGGACTTTAATGTTAGAGGACTAAACAAGGTCAGATCAGAGATATTAGTATTATTATTATTATTATTGTTATTATTATTATTATTTAATCTGAAATCCTCTCATAATGAGCTCAAAACTGACCGCAGTTTAGAACCAGAATGTTGGCAGATATGCACACACACACACACACACACACACACACACACACACACACACACACCCTCGCTGACAGGTAAAACCTGAATTGACTCACTGTGCTCCAGGAAGTGGGCGAGGCCAGGAAGGTCATCGGGGTCACTGAAGCTTCCAACGCTGATACAGAGAGCAGCTGCAGCCTAACAGACACACACACACGTGAACACACACAAATACACAAACACACAGTGTGTCGTCAAAACAAACTAACAGGATGTGGGGAAATCTTGCTGATTCTAACTCCTGCAGAAACAACTTTTTAATATTTAAAATAGTTTAAAAGACTTTTAATAACTTTTTAATGGTTAAAATAGTTTAAAAGACTTTTAATAACTTTTTAATATTTAAATTAGTTAAAAAGACTTTTAATAACTTTTTAATAGTTAAAAATAGTTTAAAAGACTTTTAATAACTTTTTAATATTTAAAATAGTTTAAAAGACTTTTAATTAAACAGAGCACCTTGTTGTCGAGGACTAACATCTCTTCTTCTCCTGCTGGTGTTTTTTTTTTTTTTTAATCGGAGTACAAATCAAACTAAAGGCTGAGGTCGCCGACTGCAGCGCTGTGAAAACTTTGTGTTCTTGTTCCTGATTGTTCCACAGATCTGTAAACATGTGACGGCCTTACGTCGTCTGTCTGATTTCTCACCTGCTTCTCGGAGCTCCCTTTCTTCTTCTTCACCACACTCTCCTCCTCCAGCTCATCAAAGTCGCTGTCCTGCTCCTCCTCTTCATCTTCCTCCTCATCCTCCTCTGAACCCTCCCCAGAGTCTCCTTCCTCCTCACCATCCTCCCCCTCACCCTCCTCCTCCTGCTGTCCATCCTCCTCCTCCCCCTTGTCCTCTCCTCCCGTCCCGTCCGACCCGCTGAAGTCAGAAATGAGGAGCGCTCGGAGTCCGTTACTCAACTCGATGTATCTGCAGAGAACGAGGACACAACCGTGAGGGCAGGAGGACACACAAACGACAATTACACAAAAGACAAACGCAATAACACAAATGACAAAAATAAATAACACAAACAACAATCACACAAATACACACAAACAACAATCACACAAATACACACAAACAACAATCACACAAATACACACAAAAAAAATTACACAAATACACACAAACAACAATTACACAGACGACAAAAATAAACGACAAACCCAATTATACAAACAACACAGATCAGTGGTTCCTCAAAGAGACACAATCAATCCCATAAAATACAAAACAACACAAAAAACTCAAAACACAACGTAACCTTAAAATGTCTTTGTCTCTGGATTATGACGTCTCACCTGTAATTTTAAGGCTCTGGTTGTTCATGTCTCACCTGTATTTTTTAGGGTCACTGGGTGATTTGATGATCTCCGGGTCTCCCTGATCCTCTGATTCTTCGCCTCTTTCTCCAACATGAGCCCTGACATCCTGCGGCGGTGGCGTTGGCGGTGGTGGCTCACCTTGGTCTGGAGCAGACACCTGACCCGGCAGACTGCACCCACTTGCTGACTTGTTGGTCTGAGGCATTGTGAGCGAGTCCTCTGAAGTGGAAGCTGATCAACATGATGACAAATATGAACATAACGAAGACCATTATAAATTGACTTTTGCCAGGAACGAATTTTTGTCATAAATCGGTTTTTATACGATATTAAAATTTTAATATTATCCACAAAGATCAGGTTTTGATTTTCTTACTGTCTTCATACAACAAGGGAAAACATCTGCTCATTTAATCTCTACTGAAGATACAAAACAGGCTCAACCATCACATCATTTAATCTGCTGCCAAAATACCTCAACTTTAATAAAAGGTTCTTTATCTCACAAACTTTGAGTCGACGTTTTAAAACTGGTTTAACTTTGACTAAACGAATCAGGACTAAAGTATTAAACTGCTGATTTACAGACTTTATTTTTAATTTTCAGATTTAAAGACTTTCTGTCAGTGATTTTTTACTTAAAGCTTTTAGACTTTAAGGATTTTTAAATGATTTTTAGTCTCTATTTGAGTTCATGACTTTAATAAAACTGTTAGACTGAACCTAAAGTCGGCTCACCTCTTTACACCAATAAAAAAAACATAATTTTATATAAAAACGTCATTAAACTGCGGTGATCGATGACCTCTGTTATGGATTAAATGATCCGTTTTTGTCACAGCAGCAGATTTGTTCAGAACACCTCAGATCAGGATTACTCTGACAGTTTTCAGCAAAGATCGGCGGTTATAGTTCATGTTTGTGAATAAATGAAGTTAATCTGATGACGTGTTACCCGGAGGACACTCAGTTTAAACCTTTAAGAAGAAAAAGAAGAAGATAAAGAAGAATAAAAAGGTTTAGTTTGTAGAGGAAGTCTCTCAGAGGCGGAGAGCAGCTTTGTTAGCTTTAGCTTCAGTAATCCTCCTGAATGACAAACTCACTCGTCAGTGTTAGCTTCACCGGATCAAACACAAACATTAACTTTAATAAAACCTACAGTTCGGTTTATTTTCTCTGAATTATCAGGAATAGAAATTCACCTTTCTGTTTGTTTGAAGCTGAAGGAAGTTCGGAGGGTCGGATTCACTACAGCCGCCTAGCCTGGGTCAGCTAACAGTTAGCCACAACAATGCGTCTGATTGGATAAGAGCGAATCGGTAATTGACCAACAGGCTTCCCAATTGGTCTAATCTGTGACGTAAAAGAGGCGGGTTTGACCGGAGGACCGGAACCGGAACCAAAAAAGTAAACTGTTAAAAACTGACCTGGAGGTTAGTTTTGTTTTCTGAAAAAACTGTTTGATATATAAATGTGTTTTTATGAGTGATGATGAGTTTTCTATCCAATCACTGACTCCTGGGCTGAAGCTTCATTTGCTCTACTGCGCCATCAAATGGACAATAAATGTAAAACAGGCGGAGTGATAATTAAAGACACTCTGAGGCTTTGACTTCATAAATGAATGAATGAATGAATGAATGTGATTCTGTGTGTTTGTGAAACAGAAAGGATGAAGTTATTAACATGGTGTCCGTCTGTCTGTGTGTCTGTGTGTCTGTCTGTGTGTGTATGTGTGTGTGTGTGTGTGTGTCTGTCTGTCTGTCTGTCCGTCTGTCTGTGTGTCTGTCTATCCGTCTGTCTGTGTGTGTGTGTGTCTGTCTGTCCGTTCCTCTGTCTGTGTGTCTGTCTGTCTGTCTGTCCGTCTGTCTTTCTGTCTGTCTGTCTGTGTGTCTGTCTGTCTGTCCGTCCGTCTGTCTGTCTGTACGTCTGTCTGTGTGTCTGTACGTCTGTCTGTGTGTCTGTGTGTCTGTCCGTCCGTCCGTCTGTCTGTGTGTGTGTCTGTCTGTCTGTCCGTCCGTCTGTACGTCTGTCCGTCTGTGTGTCTGTCTG